GTCACCAGGTTTTAAGGACATGAGATTTTCAGGGACTCCAGCTCCACAGAAGTGTTCTCTCAGTGAGGTGAGATAGTCGTCTTGCCAAATTTTCTCCTAACGTTCAATCACTTTATTGAGGTGTTTGAATTTACATCCGAGTTGCTCAAGTTTGAGATAAGTAGGATCCTTCATGATCTCTTTATCATTCATGGGAGGAACTGGTTCGAGCCTTCTACTAGGGAGTAAATGAGATGGACTTTAACACTTTCAAATTGTCCAGACCATCAGTAACATAAGCTAGAGGTCTCAGTTAAATGCTAAACCCACAAGGGTCATACAGTATACAGGTTTGAGGGTTTTAAGTATGCCAGCCTTGTATTTTAATTCAGAAGAGAATTTTCCTCCTGAGAAGATATGCTGAGGAAATCTTTCATTGTCTAATTAGTACACTTTCATTTAAATTTCATTGTTTTGAGCAGTACTAAATTGTAATATACATCATATTGTATATTATTTTAAATTGTTCTACTGTAATACTGTACTTTTTATAAACTAATTCAATAGTTTAATTATTCTCTGCTAGACTTATTAAAGCCATATAGCATTACCTAATAATACTCATTTCTCTTGTACTCATTGTAACTTATCTAATGACTATATGAACTGTTATTGTCTTACTAATCTTAAGTTAATTTTAAGTTTGCCCGAAATGCTCTGCATACAAAGGGGCTTTTGGCATGTACACCCAATTATATTCCTTTGTACAACTATGTATCATGTCAAAATAAATTATTATTAAGTCACACTTGGTCCTGTTAGTTTGTGCTGGAACTCTACTGAATCACTATGTAATGACTGCCTTTTTGTATAATATACAGTATACAGATGGGAGGCATGTCTCTTCAGTTAAGAGCCAGCCAACTTCAAATCTTAGTATGTTGAAAAGTAAGTCAGCATTCCTTATTTTAGGTACGGGAAGGTCACTAACCTCCTGTAGACCACGTGTTACGGTTAGAGGACAGAGGAGCAGAAGTAGTGGGGGTTGTGACCAGCTTGGTGGAAGGACTAGTGAGTGGCTCTGGCTGTGACTGACAACTGTCACCAGAGGAGAATCTTGCAAGTACAGTTTCCTGGGTTTTACCTTTAAGCTCTGCATCCCTCCAATAATACAGTTTCCCTCCCTTCCTGGTGTACGTCTTTGCAAGAAGTGCAGTAGATTGCTCTATATTAATAGTAATAACTTTATACTGGAATTTTTGTATCACCATATCCTTTGTAGGTTTAGTGCTTCTCTTTGATTATAATAATATCCTTTCAGTTAATAATTAGACTTCTTTTAAAGTATCTTTCTATCTCTGCCTTTGCCTGACCCATAAACCTCCCCATTTATGTACATATAATTATTATAGCACTATTTCCTATTCCAGTTTATTTACTTCTACATGTGTTATTCCAATGATTTATATTTGGCTGGTGGCAGAGTGAGGAAAATAGTTCAGTAAAAAAAAAATTGGAGTGAACTAATGAACTACAAAGGTTAGGGTTGCATGAATTACAGTATACCAAAGAAAATGGGCTTGCTTGAATTACAATACATATGGGGGGTAACTAAGGTATTTTACATTCTAGCCCTGCGGGAGATATAGCAGTACAGTACTGTATACTTTTTTTTTTTTTTTTTTTTTTTTTACCTGTAAACGGTCCAAGCAGATCTACGTTCACATACGTAGTGCTCCAAAAGTAGATCTACGTTTTTAAATATTTTCAAACATAACAAAAAAAAATAGATCAAAGTTTTTTTACACGTTTTCAAATGTAAAAAAAAAAAAGTTTTTTTTACATACTATCAAATGTTGAAAAAAACGTATACAGGAAGGCCCCACTTATACGGCGGGTTAGGTTCCAGGCTAGCGCCGTAAAGCGGAAATCGCCGTAAAGTGGAACACCCTTTTTTTCCACTTATAAATGCATACAAACACTAGATAACAAGTTTACACTAACATATATTAAGTTAGCAATAGAACCAGGCATCAAAAAACAATAAAAAGGTACAATACACACATAGTGCACTCATTACTTACCTTAAAATATTTATAGTCTTAATCTAGGGTGAGACAAGTAGTATTTATTGTAAGAAATCAAGTGTGGTATGTATTGTAATAGGCAGGCTATTTCACCAGGCCACCCCACCCACACATACTATTCTATGATATTTAAGCATCCCAGAGCGATAAAATGTATATACAGTTCACTCATTACTTACCTTAAAATATTTGTAGTCTTAATGTAGGGTCAGGAGTAAGTAAATGAGATAAAACGAATAAATGAGAGAGAGAAAGAATGAATACATGAGAGGTGACAGGCCAGGCACAGAGTAAACAAACCAGGCTCCCACATCTTATATTTATGTTTATTTATTCTATTGTGGGGTGTATTTATCATCTTTTTATGTTATGTATCGTGTTTATTATATAATTTTGAAAAAAAATATCATGGCTGGATTAATGAAAATGTGTATATTACCGTAATATACGACATTTAATGAGACTCCGTGACTATTGTTATTATGGCGTCACTTGTGGAAGTCGTCTGCTACCAGAGATCACATTTATGTTTATTTATTCTACTGTGGGGTGTATTTATCTTATTTATATGTTATGTATAGTGTTTATTATATAATTTTTAAAAAAATATCATGGCTGGATTAATGAAAATGTGTATATTACCGTAATATACGACATTTAATGAGACTCAGTATTGTTATTATCACCACTTGTGGAAGTCGTCTGCTACACAGCTCACATTTATGTTTATTTATTCTACTGTGGGGTGTATTTATCTTATTTATATGTTATGCATCGTGTTTATTATATAATTTTGAAAAAAATATCATGGATGGATTAATGAAAATGTGTATATTACCGTAATATACGACATTTAATGAGACTCCGTGACTATTGTTATTATGGCGTCACTTGTGGAAGTCGTCTGCTACCAGAGATCACATTTATGTTTATTTATTCTACTGTGGGGTGTATTTATCTTATTTATATGTTATGTATAGTGTTTATTATATAATTTTGAAAAAAATATCATGGCTGGATTAATGAAAATGTGTATATTACCGTAATATACGACATTTAATGAGACTCAGTATTGTTATTATCACCACTTGTGGAAGTCGTCTGCTACACAGCTCACATTTATGTTTATTTATTCTACTGTGGGGTGTATTTATCTTATTTATATGTTATGCATCGTGTTTATTATATAATTTTGAAAAAAATATCATGGATGGATTAATGAAAATGTGTATATTAACGTAATATACGACATTTAAATGACTTGATGTATGTAAGTTTATTTAGGTACAGGTATACATAAGTATAATTATCAGAGTATATATAAAATATGAAATAACTTTTAAAAACATTTGAAATTTTGGAGTTTCCAGACAAAATGGAGAGACTTAGTGCTTACTGAGCTCATGGAGAATGTAAACAAACAGGGTGGGGCACGGTGACCGTATTAGAAAGTCAGGTGGGGGGAGCCGTATAGTGAGTTTTGGTCATAATTTGAAATGTCCGTATTAGCGGAACGCCGTAAAGCGGAACGCCGTAAAGCGGGGCCCTCCTGTATATACGTTTGGACCGTTTATGGGTTAAGGGTGATGTATGAAGCTGAGTTTGAAATTAAGTTAGTGTTTTGGGGGCATATTTAGGGTTTAAACCATTATTATTATTATAATCAAAAAGAAGGGTTTAAACCATAAAACTAGGCATAGGCTTTTTTTTTTTTTTTTACCGTGTCCAGAATTCACAGTTTTTCCAAATTCGTGGGTGGTCTTGGCATGTAACCCCCATGAATTTGGGGGGACTACTGTACCACATTGGAGGGAGGATGGAAGAAATGAATGTGTTCAGATATTTGGGAGTTGACTTGTCAACAGAGGGGTTTATGAAGGATGACATTAACCATAGAACTGATGAAGGAAAAGAGGTGAGTGGTGCGTTGAGGTATCTGTGGAGACAGAACGTTATTCATGGAAGCAAAGAAGGGAATGTACGAGAGTATAGTGGTACCAACACTCTTATATGGGTGTGAAGTATGGGTTGTAAATGCTACAGTGAGGAGGATGGAGGCAGTGGACATGTTGTGTCTAAGGGCAGTGTGTGGTGTAAATATTATACAGAGAATTCGTAGTGTGGAAATTAGGTGGTGGTGTGGAGTTACTAAAAGTATTAGTCAGAGGGATGAAGAGGGGTTGTTGAGGTGGTTTGGTCATTTAGAGATAATGGATCAAAGAGTGTATAAATCTGTAGAGGAAGGAAGGCAGGGTAGGAGTTGTCCTCAAAAAGGTTGGAGGGAAGGGGTAAATGAGGTTTTGTGGGTGAGGGGCTTGGACTTCCAGCAAGCATGTTAGTGAATGGAGACAAATGGTATTTGGGACCTGACGAGCTGTTGGAGGGTAATATTTTGTGAAGGGATTCAGGGAAAGTATACTGCCTGCACTTTAAAGGAGGGGTTTGTGATATTGGCAGTTTGGAGACATCTAAACTGTCATATCTGAGTGCCATTGCAAAGACAGTAATTATGTATGAGTGATGGTGAAAGTTTTTTCTCACTTTTTGGGTCATCCTGCCTAAGTGGGAAACAGCCATGTAAAAACAAAAAAAACAAAAAAAACAAGGACTGTAATTATGTTGAAGTGGTAAAACTGTATGGGTCTTCACTGTTGATAATAGTGAAATCAGTGTCAGCCATAACTGCAAATTATTATTACAATCAAGAGAAGGGGGGTGCAGAGCACTCAACCCATAGGGGTCATACACCATCTGGGGAAATGTTAAGCAATCAAGTTTAATTCGATAGAAAAAGTTCAATTCTTTAGATCAAGAGCTCAACACTGGCATCAAGGCACTTCCCTGAGGGGTAACGATAATTGCAAGCACACTACTGGAGGAAGGATATGGACATAATTTATATGTTCACTCTGAGATATACAAAATCAATTGCAATGAAAAACATGAATATTTTTAATTCATAGGGATTTACATCACAAAATGCAATCAAATATCAGTAGTCACCATTTATATGTAAAAAGCAGCTTTAATGAGGATGAAAACATTTAGGAAATAGACACAGTACTAAAATCCTAAGTTCATATACATGTGTATATAATGTAATATGTAGTGGGATAGACAGACACTGGGATTAAATATTTAGAAAGTGGTACATATCATGGCACGCAACTTGATATTTAGAAAAATTTAATTGTAGGCATTATGCCCTCTATAAAATTTAGTAATATTTAGGCTTCCATCAGATATTTAAAATGAGAACTTGCAAAATAAATTTTCTCAATTATATTCCTCAGGACTAGAAATAAAAAAATTAGTGCCATTCATTTCCAAGTTAGTAAAGAGTCATCATTACATTATCCTGAATTATGGAACAAATGGTAGTGGTATCTCGACAGGCTCAGGTCCTGGGGAGCTAAAGATGGATTAACTACACACTATCAGTGAAGGCATCACTGACCACTTTCCCCTGATAATGAAATAAGGCCTGGTTTGTTGGCTTTTGGTTATAGCCTATCACTCTAAAAGTTTGTTCCGACAAATTACTATTCCTTTTCATTTCGAAGAGGAAAAGTACCAAAAACATTGATAAAAATGACAAAACCATATTCACAAAAAAAAAAAAAAAAAAAAAAAAAAAAAAAAAAAAAAAACTCCAAGACAAACATATAAACAATGTTCTAAAAAAATATAGATATAATTAGCAAGTTTAAAGTCTTATATATTACTGTATGGGACTGAGATTATATTGAATAAGTTAAAATTACATTTTTAATCTTATGCTAATTTTAAAACCTTAAAACTATATACACTGTTATGGTTCTGGTGCTTATATACATATATCCGGTAGTCAAATATTCCTGGGAAATATAAATTAAGAACTAATTTATTCTCTACATTTCCTTTACACTAATTATGCATAAAAAATATATAATTTTTATACTTTCTAAAATAAACAATTGCACCATATTCAAATTTTTATCTTTTGCAAACATAACTTTGGCAAATATCTGTAAATGTATTTATTTCGTGTGACAGACATACTCTATCACAAACAATATTACCATACATCACTCGATTACTGCCTCGTGAACACTACTTGGAATTTAGAATTTTAATGTCATCTGACAGCATATTACTATGCCTCATAGGTATATGGAATACTATACAAGCTTGTGTTTTGTAAGCATGTCTGCAAATTTTCCTAAGCCTTTTATAACATTCTTGGTTTATGTATTTTATCATTTTCGTAAATGCTATTGGTCCCCAAGCTTCTTACTCACAAGAACCCGCACATCACCTGGGAGGCAAACTTTCTTTTGGTAAACACCAGGCCATATGCACTGGACCACTACATACAAAAAAATGTACATAATATTTCAAGTAAACCCACTGCCTGAATACACACCTGCATTGCCATAAAATCCGAGATGCAATGAAAAAGCTGCATGACGTGAATCTAAGTCATTTGAGCAATGGGTTGAATCATTCAAAATATAGTGCCCATTATTTTTGTAATGTGGTGGTGGTGCAGTAGATATGGCATCAGCCTGGTATTTATCATAGGAGAATGAAACTTGTGTTGACATTTCAGTTAAACTTGGACCATTAAGCAGTCAAACTAATGACTAGTTAATGGTCCAAGTCAGATGAAAATGTCATAAGTTTCAATCTCCTATCTTTGGTTATTTGTGAATTGTTCCAGTCACAGTATTGTGCCTTTTTATTCTTTTTGGTGTTTATCAGATAGTTTATCTCCTGGGTCAAGTGTGCTTTGTTATAAACAAGTAAGAAGTTGGCCAAATAGTGCACATTTAATTATACACTATTCTACTACTCTTTCATGATATTTTACATATACATCTTGTGCTTTTTAGGCAGAACTTGTAATCTTGTCTTATAAAGCAATGAACATTTTGCTAAACAAGCAAAGTGCAACTGTTGAAAAAGAAGAGAAAAAAAAAAAAAGTATTATCAATATTAAATACTACTAAATTTAGACTGGTCTAGAATGTTTTTGGTAGAATTAAGCTAAATTACATAGTCAATTTTAGCAAGTTTAGGTTAAAGAAAAATCTTAATTCACAAAAATATATATTGTCTAAGACAAATTTTTTGAGAAGACTGGTTTGCTTGAGCAACTCTACCTAAAAAGCACTAATATATACACACACACACCTATCTCTGAGCTCGTGCATGCGTGTGTGTGTGTAATTTTTTTTTTTTAAATAACCCTTTCACTGTCTCTTATAGATCTGTCTAGATCACAGAGCCCTCAAATGTGTTGTTTAAGTCAAAATTTACTGATCACATGAGAAAATGGGGTCTGTCAGGTGGGTGTGCACAGTTTAAAAAAAAAAAAAAAAAAAAAAAAAAGGTAATATGATGGGAACAGCAGACCTCTGACAGTGTGTTGTGTTAAAATACTGAATTCGAGTTTTTTTTTTTTTTTCCCCCATTTCTTGGCATTAGTTGATAGATGAGAAGACACGCTGTTCAAATGGAGATGATTTTAGTTGGTCTCGGACCAGGGGTGACCTGAAAAGGCCTCAGAGCAAATACTTGATTTTTTGGCTCTTTGTAAGTCGGGAATGCCATATGTTTGCGTTTGTGTGACAATTTATTCAAAATGTAGGGGGTTATATAGGAGAGGAATAGGGATGTGATTAGGGAACAGAGGAAAGGTGGCTTTAATGGCTGGAATGCCTACAGTGTTTATTTTGTTCTGTTTTTAAATTGGGATTTGTTGAATTTTGTGTAAAATTGGCCAAATTACCGACCTCTGGTGGTTCATAGGGTAGTTCTGAATTGAATGGGCAGTTTATTGTGCTCAATCACTAGAACAAAAGGCATATTAGCAAGATTGCCAGGAACTGGGTCAGTTTGAGCAATGGAATTGGTCTAGAATAGACCTAAAAATGGGAAAAATTGCTGTTGCATATACATGTATTGTGCCCAGGACAACAACTTCATACCTGCATAATTTTATTAGCTTTCCATCAAATTTTGCATTTTTGGTGTCATTACCTTAGAAAATGATTCTCTACCATTTCAAAAGATTATATTTTTGGGGGGAGGAAAATCATAAAACTAACAGCACTTTTAATTTCAGGAGTCACGACAATGAAAGGGTTAATTACATACTAAAAGTCTCTGTGGACTCATTTTTTTTTGTCATTAATTCAAAACCTATTACAATATTTATCCATGTTCAGTTTTAACATTGTCCTATTCTTTACTTATGAAGTACATGTCTAAATACAGAAAGTGACAAAATGGCTAAACTTTGCTTTTGAAAGATTTCGGAAGCCTTTCATGTTATGGTTGAGAAATTGTAAACTAGTAAACTATCAAGTCACAATATCTTTTGCCAGCCCAATTTCAAATGGTAAACATTCATGTGTTTTGGATCAGTTACAATGATGAATAAATAAATCACTGTCCTTCTACCTTCTCCCAGTCATCATCCCAATTGTCCCAAGTGTGGCCTTTGGTGCCATTGTTCCCAAGATCGACCAGCAACTCCTGCTCAGCTTTTCCATCCTGACAAAAGTAAAGAACACACATAAATAATAATGTACACTACTGCTACTTATGGCATGTTTATAAATTACTTTGCATATGCTAATGGTTCTGTGAATTATTGCAAGCACTGCCTAGTTGCAAGACCAGGCTTCATAAATTAGTCATCAAAATCATGGGGAAGCACTAAACTTGTACAAGTCAATAAAGTGCCTGAGGAATGGAAGTCAATCAGATTTCATCTATGGAAAAGAGTAAAAATAGGTCCAATACCCTGGATGAAATGACCTCCCATAAAAGAGAAATCAAACAAAATATTTCAGAAATGGGAACTACAGTACATATTGGGAAACAAATGAAAATACAGCCAAGTATATGCAGTGGAACCTCGGTACTCGAACAGCTCCGTACTTGAAATGCCCTTTACTTTACTTTCCCTTCTTGCTGATGGACCCTCCTTTAACCCAGACTCCCTGACTTTTTGGCAGCAACTGATTTACTGCATACACTTTGATGATGATACCTCTAGTACTCCTCACAGCCCTTTCTACCTCAATCTCCTGCTACCCTCTACCCCTGCAGCTGTATAGTCCTTGTGGCTTAGCGCTTCTTTTTTTGATAATAATAATCTACCCCTGCACTCCTCTTCAAGGGGGGCTCCTTGGCGTGGTGAAGAGGCTCTTGGTCTGAGGAATTAGCCCTGTTGGTCTTCTTCCTCAGACCGAACCTAATTACCCCCCATTCTCCCCTCCCCTATCCCATCCTCCCCTTTTCCATTTCCTCCTCCTCCTCCCCCCTCCCTTTTGCCCTTCCTCTTTTTGGCCTTTGGGATTTCTCCCACAGGCGCGCTAGTTCCTAGGTAGGGGAAAGGACACCGGGGTCCATCCCATTCCGTTGAGGTTCTTGGCGGTGGCGTAGTTTGCCGTGGAATCTGGATTGCCTGGGGATGTCCCGATTCCTCTCCGGTATCCCGGAGTAGCTTTGGGTATCTTTCGGGCGACGGGTGTATCTCTGGAAGCCACCTTTCGGATTTCTGGGGTGTGTGGCCGAAGGAGGTATGCTTTGTGGCGGATATCCGGCCGCCCTCTCTTTTGTCCACCGAGGTAGCTCGGCAGATGTGAGGTTGCTATCCCGGATTGCTGGTTTACTGGCATGAAGGGTAGGGTATGACACGGGTTCCATGCTGCATCTGCGCTACAAGCGGTGTTGAGGTCCTCTTGGGCGCGGAGGGAGATTTCCGGCCCTTTCATTCCTCCTGGGAACTATTCCTCCCCGCTCCCCCCTTTTTTTATCTTTTTTTATTTTTTCTTTTCTTTCTTCTTTCTTTTTTTTCTTAAAAACAAAAAGCAAAGGAGAACCTAACCATGGCAGCCTAGTCCATGAACCCACTACCCCCGGGCCCCTTCTTGATACCGCACCCCATTCGGACCCTGCCTTGTGTTTAGACACTCTTCGGACACTCCTGATGCCCCTGTACCTCTTGCTGGTGCTGTTTCCTCACCCGCTTCAGGTACCGGGGCTTTGACTGACTCCTTCGATTTGTCTGAACTCCGCTCTCCTTTGACTATGCTTCCGGCTTCTCCCTCTACGGTACGGCAATTTTCGAATCGCCCGCCCATTTCACGCCGGACCAACTCCGGTCCTACTCCTAAATGCCAACGTCAATCTCCTGATGATGCTCCTTCGTTACCTTCCCATTCTACTCGGAAAAGACCGACACGTCAAGCACTCCCTCTCCATGCTCCGTTTCGGACCACACAATGGACTAAATTCTTTACTTTAAGACAGACTTCTTCTTCTGCCTACCTTTCTGACCATAGTATTGGCAAAGCGCTCCTGCGTCATGTTGGCAGAGATATTTCATTTCATGCTCTCAAGAGCGGTACCCGCATCGTCACTGTCCAGAATGCTACCCAAGCTCATGATCTTTCTCTCCTTTCGAATATCGATACTACTCCTATCACTATTGAAAAACATCTTTCTCTCAATTCTTGTAGTGGTACTGTCATTCTGCCCCATACCATAGTCCAACAGAATTTCCAGTCATGTGGCAATGACATTTTTGAACAGCTGGAACTCCAGGATCTCCCAATCCTCAAAGTAGACACTTGTGTCCTTCCTGCCCGGGGGCGGAGACGTTATCCTTGCAATGTGGCTCGTTTAACTTTTGACAGCCGAGAACTCCCGTCCTCTGTATATGTCGCGGGACATCGATTACAAGTTCGAAAGGTGATACCTACACCGCAACAATGTAGAAATTGCTGGCGTTTTGGTCACCCAGCGAAATATTGCAGATCTATGGCCGAATGCCCAGTCTGTGGTGCCGACAACCATTCTAATACATCTTGCAGTCAACCTCCATCTTGCCTTAATTGTAATGGAGCTCACCCTTTGTACTCCCGCCGTTGCCAGGTCTATCCATCACCAAGGCTTACGTTTGTGCCTTGGTGCTTTTCGCTCTTCCCCTGTTGAGAGCCTCTATACAGAAGCAAATGTTCCATCCTTGTCTGATCGCCGTGATGCCCATTGCCTTCGCTACTATGTACGCTCTCACGATCTACACAATCCTTCCATTTATAGAATGGTCACCGATATTAGTAGACATTCTTTATTCGTTCGCCGCCCCTGTTTGCTCCGTCCCTTTTCTCTTCGCCTACATTCACTCTTGTCTTCCCTTCAGTTACCACCTTTATATGTTCATATAGCATCTCACTTTTCCCTACCCCCCTGGGAAGTTCCAGCTGTTCGGGTCTGTTCTTTCTCACTCCCTTGATCGAAAGCTCAACTGCCTATGGTGGCTTCCCGCTCTCTTTTTCTTGATCACTTCCACTCCCATTCTCATGCCACCGCTGTGTACACAGAAGGCTCTAAGTCTTCAGACGGCGTCGGATTCGCAGCAGTGTTTCCGGACAGCGTTGTGCGGGGGCATTTACTATCTTCAGCTAGCATTTTTACTGCTGAACTGTATGCCATTCTTGCAGCACTTATTCGTATCGCATCTATGCCTGTGTCATCATTTGTAGTAGTCTCAGACTCCCTTAGTGCTCTACAGGCTATACAAAAATTTGATACATCTCATCCCTAGTTTCTCGTATCCAACTTTGGCTACGCCGTATCTCTACCAAACAAAGATATTGTTTTTTGTTGGGTCCCTGGTCATGTCGACGTACAGGGCAATGAACAGGCAGACACTGCTGCGCGATCAGCAGTGCATGACCTACCAATTTCCTATCGAGGTGTCCATTTCTGGACTATTTTGCTGCAATAGCTACCCACCTTCGCACCCGTTGGCAACAACGTTGGTCAACTCTGTTGGTAACAAACTTCATTCTATTAAACTGAGCATAGGCTACTGGCCGTCTTGTCATCAGTGCCGAGGTTGGGAGACCACTCTCTCCCGCCTTCGCATTGGCCACACTCGTCTTACTCATGGGTATCTCATGGAGAGGCACCCTGTTCCTCTCTGTGAGCAGTGTCAAGTTCCAGTATCGATTAGCCACATTCTGTTAGACTGCCCTCTCTATCACGAGCACGCAGAATTTACCTCCGTCGTCGTCTTCGTTCTACTACTCTCTCTTTACCTTCCCTTCTTGCTGATGGACCCTCCTTTAATCCTGACTCTCTCATTGACTTCTTGACAACGACTGATTTACTCCACAAACTCTGATGATACTTTTCGCACTCCCCTCAGCCCTTTCTAGTTCAGTCTCTTGCTGCCCTTTACCCTTTCACCATCCACTACCCCGCTGTTATCCGTAACCTATTACTCATCCATCTCCCTTATGCCACCTGATGCCCTCGCTTCCTTCCTGCCCTACAGCGCTGTATAGCCCTTGTGGCTTAGCGCTTCTTTTTGATAATAATAATAATAATACCCCTGCACTATCCACTGCCCTGCTGCACTCCATGACCTAATAATCATCCCTCCCCCTCTCGCTACCCAATACCCTGGCATCCTTTCCTGCCCAGCGGCACTGTATGACCCTTGTAGGTTTAGTACTTCTTTTATATAATAATAGTTTCATACTTGAACGCTTTGTTCAGAAAAAAAAAAACACGCTCAGTAGTCGACCTAGCATACATGACCTGCCAGAACATGTGCGTCAGTCCCCCCAAAGCTCTCGCTCAGTCCAAAACTCCGCTGAACTTCACTGTAAACTATTTTATGTTTCTTCACCTCTTCAAGGGGGGCTCCTTGGCATGGTGAAGAGGCTCTTGGTCTGAGTAATTAGACCTGTCGGTCTCCTTTCTCAGACCGAACCTAATTACCCCCCAATCCTCCGTTCCCTATCCCATCCTCCCCATCCTTTCCTCCTCCTCCTCCTCCCCACCTCTCCCTTTTGCCCTTCCTTTTTGGCCCTTTTTTTTTTTCTTTTTCCACAGGCACACTAGTTCCTAGGTAGGGGAAAGGGTACCGGGGTCCATCCCATTCCGTTGAGGTTCTTGGCGGTGGCATAGTTTGCCGTGGAATCTGGATTGCCTGGGGATGTCCTGATCCCTCTCCGGTATCCCGGAGGGTGGCTTTGGGTGTCTCTCGGGCGACGGGTGTATCTCTGGAAGCCACCTTTTGGATTCCGGGGGTGGTGGCCGAAGGAGGTATGCTTTGTGGTGGATTTCCGGCCGCCCTCTCTTTTGTCCACCGAGGTAGCTCGGCAGATGTGAGGTTGCTATCCCGGATTGCCAGTTTACTGGCATGATGAGTAGGCTATGGCACGGGTTCCATGCTGCATCTGCGCTACTTGTGGTGCTGAGGTCCTCTTGGGCGCGGAGGGAGATTTCTGGCCCTTTCATTCCTCCTAGGAACTATCCCTCCCCGGTCCCCCCTTATTTTATTCTTTTTTTTTTATTTTCTTTTCTTCTTTTTTTTTCTTAAAAACAAAAAGAAAGAAGTAACCTAACCATGGCAGCCCTAGTCCATGAACCTGCTACCCCCGGGCCCCTTCTTGATACTTCACCCCGTTCTGACCCCGCCTCGTCTTTAGACCACTCTTCAGACACTCCTCATGCCTCTGTACCTCTTG